GGGCCAGGCGGCTGGGGCTACGCGAGGGCTTGTTGCAGCGGAGGCCGGGGATGCGAGGCGATGGAGTCGCTCCGGGAAGCCCGTAACCCCAGGTTGAACGGAGCGGGGAGCAGCGGGGCAGGCTGGGGTTCTGAAGTCACAGAGCGTCCTTCCCGCCTGTGGATGGGGGTGCAGCAAGGCTGCGTGCTCCCTGCAGCAGTCGCCGTGAGGAGCCCAAACCGGCCACGGCGCAGGGCCTCGAGAGCTCACGCCAGTGCAAAGGGACCTGTGCTGCTGGCGCTGACAGTGGCGTGGAGCCGGGGTAGCTGCTGCGAGCAGAAGCCCCGAGGCTACTGACCACCAGAGAGCCTGAAACGCCCCCTTGGCCTCGGAGGGAGCTGCCTCTTAGGACACAGGAGAGTGGGGCTCCGGTGCCTGACACACCCGGGCACGGGGCAGCTGTGCTGGGTTGGCAGGGCTGGCTGCTGCAGTCATGGGGTGGCGCAGGGCCAGCCGCCCGGCTGCCAGGGGCCTGGAGCGCTTAGGCCGGCCCTGGTGGCTTGGGTCTCGCTGACACGCTAGCACTGCCCAGGCCGGGTCAATCCACGTCCCCATCTCCCAGCCGTTCCGGGCGAGGGGCAGCCCGGAGGACACAGTGAAAGACTGGAGTGAATGCACCTAGATGGATCCTCATGCTTCCAGCCGCTCGGGCTGTCCTGCGTGTCGGCTAGGGCCCTTTAAGGGGCGTGGGCCCTTCCCCGGATGGACAGAGCTCTCCTTGAACTCCAGGCTAAGGATCCAGCGGCTCCAAACGGAGCAGGTCGGCCCTTCACCTGGAATCTCTCTCCTCCTGCCCCCTTTGCCTGGGCAGCTGGGAGTCCTTGGGGTGAATCGTAGGGAGGGGGTACCTGCTCCCCAGCGACCAGTCACTTCACACCAGCTAAGGAGAGAGGCAAGATATTGCGGGCCATAGGCCAGACTTACTAGGCAGCGGAGTCGTTGAGCTGGTACTCGGCTGCTCGGTCGAAACAGGCCTGGACTCCGCTGTCTTTCCACAGCTTCTTTATGCAGTCGACCAGCTCCGGGGGCATGGTGCCCTCCTCGATGGAGTCTGCCAGGTTGCACAGCTGCCGCCCGTTGTCCTGGGGGACAGAGCCGCTGAGCGCAGGGCATGAGCCGGTGGGGGGGCAGCGCGGCCGGGGCCTGGGACTGCTCTCTGGATTGCCCCCACCCCTGCTGATTCCCCAGGCCAGAGCCCCAGAGACAGACTCAGGGCCCGGAGCGGGGTGCGCGCTGCTCCTTCGCCAGTAGGTGGCAGCCCGCACCAGCAGCTGGCTGCAGGGAGCAATGGGACCCCAAAGGGAGCAGGGCCCGAGTCTCTGCGTTCGCCTTGCCCAGCTTGAAGGCATTGCCTTCCCCTGCCCAACCGCAGCCTGGCACCACGGGGGGACACGGACCGGCCACGTGCCAGCAGTGACCTGGGAGAGGGGATGGGTTGCACCCTCAGCAGGTTTGACGCTAAGCTGGGGGAGAGGTAGAGACGCTGGAGGGCAGGGAAGGGTCCAGAGTGACCTGGACAGATTGGAGGATCGGGCCACAAGAAATCGGATGAGGTTCAACAAGGACAAGTGTAGAGTCCTGCCCTTGGGTTGTAAGACTCCCAGGTATTGGTACAGGCTGGGGACCGACTGGCTAAGCAGCAGTTCTGCAGAAAAGGACCTGGGGGTTACAGTGGATGAGAAGCTGGAGATGAGTCAACAGTGAGTCCTTGTAGCCAAGAAGGCGAATGGCATATTAGGGTGCATTAGGAGGAGCATTGCCAGCAGATCCAGAGATGTCATTATTCCCCTTTATTCAGCACTGGTGAGGCCACATCTGGAGTATTGTGTCCAGTTCTGGGCCCCCCCACTATAGACAGGGTGTGGACGCATTGGAGAGGGTCCAGTGGAGGGCGACCAAAATGATTAGGGGGCTGGAGCACACGACCTAGAGGAGGGGCTGAGGCAGGCCATACCCTCTGGGCATCCACTGGTGGCTGTGTGGGTTGGGGTGACCCCTACTGGCCAGCACCTGTAGCTCTGCCCAGCAGGACGGCTGCCATCAGTCACGTAGGCAAAGACCCAGCCTATCTGGCAGGTTGAGGGCAGGCAGGGAACAAGGGAAGGGAGGTTTTGGGGGAAGGGGCAGTGGCTGGCTGGGAAGCATGAAGGAAGCAGCCTAAGCTGAGGGTCTAGTGATGACAATGGACCCCTAATCCAAGGGACCTGAGGCATCCTGGCTCTGACTGCTGATATCCCGTCTATGCTGGGCTGTATCCTGGAGGAGCAATAGACTCTCTATTTTACTGGCTGGGAGAGTCTCATCTTGCTGCAGACGGGGTGCAGGATGGGGGGGTATTTGGGTTTGTTCAGTCTGCAGAAGAGGAGAGCGAGGGGGGATTTGATGCAGCCTTCAACTTCCTGAAGGGAGGTGCCAAAGAGGATGGAGAGAGGCTGTTCTCAGTAGTGACAGATGCAGAACTAGGAGCAATGGTCTCAAGTTGTGGTGGGGGAGCTCTAGGTTGGATATTAGGCAGGTGGGGAAGCGCTGGGCTGGGTTCCCTAGGGAGGGGTGGAATCTCCATCCCCAGAGGAGCAGCTGGGAACCTTTGGCCCCCTGGTAAGTGCTTGCAGGCGTGCGTGAGGCATTGGATATGTCTGCGCAGCGCCCAGCCGAGGGACGGATTTGAGCAGGCAGCGAGGACATGGCAGCTGGGGCGCAGGGTGGGGCTGGCCCTGTGAGCTCAGACCCAGGGTGAGACTCTCTATTTTACTGGCTGGGAGAGTCTCATCTTGCT